ACAAAAGACAAAGCATTGGAGAAACAATCAGAGAGAACACGAATAGTGTTTCCAAATAGAAGTACATAAAATGAGCAGCGAGACATTCAAACACAGATATTGAGGGATTTTTAAAGCTTTGTTTCCTTGTAGTAGCTGAAAAGAATAATGCTTGGCAGTGACAAAACACATTGATTCTAGCAGTTGCAGATAAAATCTAGCTTGTAGAAATTGGTGTTAAACACCAAAGATAATTAATTAGGAGAAAGAAGGAGAACATGCCTTCCAGGGGGATGTTTGTTTATTAGCCCTTGGCACATTGTTATGAAGATCTGTCCATTCAAAGGAATGACAGAATAGTGAAGAAAGCTTTAAGAGATTATGGGGCTCCATAAACTATACCATCTGCACATAATAGGAGATTCAAAAGAAAGAAGCTGAAAAGCAACAAAGCATATTTGAATAAATAATAATGGTCACAAACTTCCATTTTTAAGTTGGGTTATATGTTTTCTTGATGATTTTTAGTTTGTGATAGTTTGAATGTAATTGGCCCCCATAATCTCATAGAGAGTGGCATTATTAGGAGGTGTGGCCTTGTTGGAGGAAGTGTGTCACCTTGGGGACAGGCTTTGAGGTCTCCTATGTTCAAGCTACACTCAGTGACAGGGTTGCTTCTGCTGCCTGCAGATCAAGATGTAGAATTCTCAGTTCCTTCTCCAGCACCATGTCTGCCAACATGCTGCCATGTCCTGCCATGAATGATAACGGACTAAATCTCTGAACTGTAAGCCATGCCTTTAATCCCAGCGCTTGGGAGGCAGAGCCAGGTGGTTCTTTGTGAGTTCAAGTGATAGGAATTGAAGAAAATCCTGAATTTCAGAGACCTCTGACAGAAGTGAACTCTATGTTCCCCATGCCTGAAACCATGAGCTCTTCAAACTTGTGAGTATGGACACAAAGAAATGGGACCTGCAAAGAGTCTACTAAGAAGTGGAGTAGAACAGAGATAGAGCAACCAAAGCAGTATGGTATTGACACAAAAATAGGCATGTTGATGAATGGAATTGGATAGAAGACCCAGACATAGATCCCCATATCATTGGGCACATGATTTTTGACAAAGAAACCAGAAACACACACTGGAAAAAGATAATATTGTCAACAAATGGTGCAGGTCTAACTGGATGGTTGGCTGCCTGTAGAAGAATGCAAATAAATCTGTTCTTATCACCCTGTACAAAACTGGAGTTCAAATGATTCAAAGACCTCAACGTAAAACTGGGTACACC